CAGACAGAAAAATAAAAAAACAGAAGCAACAACGCGTTGACGAAGAGGATCCTTCTATGAAACTGTATTATAACAAAATTACTAAGAACATCAAAAAATAGATCAGTTTAAAATTAATTCTTGACGACAAAATATGTTGGGAATTAGAATTATTTATAAACTAAGATATCTACAAGAACAACACATTAACTGAAAATTAATTGGAGAACACTATACTTAAGATGTTTACACGAACAGAGTCATGCTAATTTTTTAATCATTTAGCTGACTACTGCGAGACGAAAGGCCCTACATATTCGCCCCGTGCGACTACAAAAAATGGCAGGTAATAGATAAATAATTTGGCAAATTCATTTAAAACCGAAACATTTAAGTTGTGATAGGAAAGAATGGAAAAGTTGGTGCGATTAGAAACATTGAACGAGGGAGGTTCTGAGATACGTGATTGTAGGGTCTGGATTCTGTGGAGATTTGGTTTGGTTTGGTTAGATTCTAGAGTTTTATGCTGCACTGTTTTCAGTATTGAATTGTACATAAGTATTTTGTTCTCAAGGGAGAGTTTAGAACTGTTGTCTCTTACAGTTTTTTAAGTAATCAATACCGTCGGGTTCTACGTACGGTACTACGTACTACCGTAATGTACGTAATGTACGTAACGTACAACCAAAATGCATAAAAAAAATTGCATCAAAGTCATCCATAATAAATAAGAACACAGTCTAATAGACAGGGATTTCCATCTACATAAAAACACCCTTGGAAATAGCAATCAGTGGAACCGACTTTGGCAAGGCTTAAGAGAACATTGAGCATAGTCAGCACATATACTCCAAAATAAGGTACTCATGTACTAGTTAGCTCAAATCATACAAAAAAAAAAGACATTGATATATGTGAAGTTCAGGAATTTTGGACCTTCAAAGCAAATATCACAGGGCACGGTACAAGTTAATTCTGACATCGAAAATATACATATCGGACCACAGTAGAAACAATTGTAACACCGAACAAAGAACTGGATGTCTTGCACCTCTGATAGTGGCAAACATCTGACTTAATAGAAGTGTTGAAGGTGGGGTGAGGGTGTAGATTCAACATGTTCATTCAATGATGGTTCGACTCTACAACAAATCAGTAAGTAGAACTATCATTTACAAAAAGGTGAACATCTCATTTTGTAGATGTAGATAGGTCGGATTGTAATATACTGCGCCCTTTAAGAGCTATTGTATCTCCCGTTTTGTGCCTAAAGGACACCGGTGAGTCCTAGTTCAAGGAATTTGATTATCAGCGGTTTCAGTAGGAGAATCTCTTTCTACGGATGCATAGTACTTGCAAAAGTGGCAAGTGTAGCACCACAGTTTGTTAACAAGTGTGTTGTTGTTTCCTCTGCTTCTTTTCAAAATCTGCACTCGCTGTAGGGTTATGCCTTCTCCAAATGTCCAGGATGCAGTGTCCTGTTAAGAATCCTGTTAAAGTTTTCCTACTTCCTTTAATACATTCTGTTACTTCTTTTCTTCCTTCTAAAAGGAGGTCTTTGGATTGTTTATGTCCAATAAGTGATTTCCCTTGTTCCCTCATTTCCTTTGTAACCTTCTGTCTGAGCTACTCATGTGGATTCCTATGTCTCAGAAGAGTTCGGGTCCTATCAGCGGTGTAGCAGCCCCTTTTCTTGCAAGGGTGTCCGCTTTCTTTGTTGTTTCATGTCCTGGGTCCCAGCAGAGACTGATTTTGTTCTGCATACATAATATTTTTAGTTTGGTTTTGCAGTTCAGCACCATCTTTGAACTAATGGCGTTTGAACTTAGTTCTTTGATGGCTGCTTGGCTATCTGACATAGCTATGTTCTTTGTGTGCTCTTTATTCAAGTTGAATTGAGTACATCTCTATTGCTTTCACCTCATTTTGGAAGATCCTGGTGTATTTGCCCATGGGTTCCGAGTATTTCTTTCCAGGAACGAATATTACTAATTGTGTTCTAGATACATCTGCGTACTTGCGTATTTTTCTTTTCTCATATTTTTTGTTACCTAGGTTTGTTCGAAAGTTTTGATTGAATTTAACCATTCTGTTCATGTCGTCTCTTGAAACCATGAGCATTGGATTGTCTTTAATTATGTTGTTGCTATCTCCATTTTAACATCTCATTTTGTATGTACGCAATTAATTAATGTGGTGATTAGTGACCGTTAATCGATAATTTTTCAGAAATCGTGAGATGCGGTCTGGTGTGATGTAGGTTTCAGAAAAACATTTTCTTTGTCGTGCCAACGTTTCGATCTTTATTGAGATCATCTTCAGACCTCAAAGTGGCATGATAAAGAAAATGTTTTTCTGAAACCTACATCACACCAGACCGCATCTGACGATTTCTGAATAATTAGCAATTAATTAGCCTGAAAATCAGTTTCTATTGGTTAAAGCGTATTTTCAGTTCTCCCCTCACTATAGACATATTTCTCAGGCACCTATCTGTAATATTAATAAAAATTAAATGGGAATAAGTCCTGATAACGGTGGCAGTAAACGCGCACTATACGAGGGATAAGAAGATTGGAGAAGAGAACAAAAATTACTAGAAATAATTTGAAAAATGGCAAAAAGGAGGGAAAACTCAAAAGGTGGGGTTGAGGTAGGAAGTTGGTGTCCGAGTGGATCGAGGTCACGATAGCTCAAGTGGTAGAGCAACGGCGAATCCAGCCGAAGATCGTGGGTTCGAATCCCGCTCGTGACACTGACTTTTTGGTCTCAACTAAAAACCTTAATTAATTGTATATATTAATTGCTCAAGCGGACCAGGAAATTAGTGAATTTAAAAATTACTAGAGTAAATAGAGGAGTACAACCTGTTTTGAATCAATCATCATCACCTCCGACTTTTACGTCTTCAGAAGGTGAATCACATATTGATGTAACTTTAGTAACTGGCCCCCTACTCAAAGACATCTCAAAGTGGGAAGTGAAATAAGTAATCATAGAGTGTTACTTATAGAGATTCCTCCTCGAAGGAAATGACATTTAACATATAACTAATTGAAGAACATTAGAACTGATCGGAGACAAAGAAACACGCTTTTCACCTTTCACAAACGTAGTAATGGAACTGCGTTAAGAAAAGTAGTCCACAGACCACAGAAAAAGGCAAAATTAAACTATATAAGAGAAAAAGACAGTAATAGGCTTATCAGAACGAACGAAAACGGTACAAATCAAGCCAAAAGTTTATCACCCCTAAAATTTAACAAATATCAAATATTTTTTCGTAAGCAAGAATCTACGCGAGGCGCAATAAGTTACATATTGAGTGAGTTTAACTTCTGTTCTCCCTTTTTTTTTCAAATCTTTTTTTCTAATTTCTTATTCTATATCAAGGCAAAAAGTTTGATTTCCCCAGATTAGCAGGATACAAATAGGAAAAGAACTATTTCGAATTGTAAGAAATTGATGAAAGGAGACTAGGAAGTGGGTGTTTATGTCCCCAAGCAGTGAAGCCCTGTGGCTTATTGTACTTTCTTAGTTCTTTAGTTCAGTCAGTCGATTTGATCCTTTTGAAAAGGTTTAAATAGAACATTGACTGCCCCTTTAGGGGGAAGGTGTTTCTGGGGGTTCGATAAGCCCAGAGTGGAAGAAATCCTGGCAGTCCCATCAGCTCATTTTTGGAAGCAGTCAGAAGTTTATGTTCAGCAGAGTAACCGATGATGAACGTCCTCCTTGAGAAGTGAAGAAGAGAATCCTACCCATATTTAAAAGTATTAGATATCAAGGTAAAACGTAAAGATTGACAGGTTTATTGAGCGTAGAATGGCTTTGAGTTTGCAGGCAAATCAAGTTGCCAGATTCTAGCGTCATTCCTTTCACTCGAGGATGAGATGATGACCACGATAAGAAAGCACAATTGTATAGTCAAACAATGACGCCTAAATCGAAATTGATAGTTTATGATAAAGAGTAATTATTTAGGAGAGTTTTTTTACGGAGTTTACCAAGAATTGGCAGTAAAATGACGTAGCAATTTGAAAAGGTGTGTAGTTTTTCGTGAAGTTATGTTTTGGGTGAACATTGAACAACTTCCAGACGTCAGAAAGAAATGATACAACACTTAAATTTTGCACTGTTGTTTGGAAAACTATTAAAATTAATAATAATTAACTATATAAACTAGGCAATTTGAATAATAAATGTATGAGAGATTAAATAATTACTGACTTAAGAAAGTAACGAAAATTCATTCGTTTTTGAGATAATAGGCGATGTTAATTGATACAATTGATATAAGGCAAACAGAGATCCTTTGATCCTTTTTCAAATGGCAACAATAATAGTAAAAAACGGGGTCTTTTGAAAAACCGCCTTTGCATAATAAGGGCCCTTTGAGCCACGCAGAACATGTGGGCTCTATGTACTTTCCATTATCTCCAGCTTTCTCCCCGTCAGAGGGGCCGATTCCCCGGGGTTCATAAAAATTGAGAAGAAAGGAAGAAGGTCAATTACTTCCTCTCATCGATTTAATTAGGGGTGAAAAATTTATGAGCTCCCCTTCTGTTCGGGCTCCGTGTTTAATTCAATCCCCCGCCGCCCCCGACCCTCTTTAGGCCTAATTGCCCTCCCTTCATGCACAACCCTGTTTGCAACAAATTAAAGAATTAGAATAACTTGACTTTGACGGCGCTATCTGATTAAATAGGGAAAAAAACAGCTTGAAATTGAACGAGTCGCAGCCATGTAAATAAGACGTTTGAAGAAAACTAATCAAAATATTTACATTTACTAGTTACTGCTACAAACCAAAATTGACTGAGAAACGAAATAAAATTTATTTTTTTGCCTTAGAGCCCACTGTAGACAAACAACTGTATTGACTATCAGCTTATAAAGAAGTAAAATTTAATTTCTACTAGTACAGACAAAACCTCTAATACTGAGACGTTCCCAATATTTCAGGATTTATTTTTCTTACTTTAAATATCTTAAATTTCTTTTACGTTTTGACAGAAACTCACCTGATGAGGCCTCGTGTTCGGAGGGGGCGGCCCACCCATGCCGTGGTGGTGGTACATCATGTCATGCTTCAGCTGTGGCAACCCTCCCCCCGGTCCGGTAGGATTGCTCGACTGGTGCTTGCCGATGTCGACCGCTGCGAGGGCCTCTGCCCTCGAAAGAAGTCCGTCGTTCAACCCGCCGAAAAGGTCGCCCTGAAATCAGGAGAAAGTTCCTTTCATAAAACACATCGCCCATTTTATAAATGAACAGAATTTGCAAAACTTTATTTTTGGAAGTGAAAAGCATAAGTTATTATTATTTCTCTCTCTCACTCTCTCTCTCTCTCTCTCTCACTCTCTTTCTCTATCTATCTATCTCATTATCAATCTATTTATCTCATTACTCTCACACACAAGTACGCAGGCACGTGCATACTATTTCCGTTCTATGTCTGCAGTTTTCTCCCTCTTTTTTCCTCAATCTCTCTTACTTTTAATAACACTCTCTTTGTCACTCACTGTAACTCTTTCTCTTTAGCCCCCTTTCTCTCGCACACTTTCAAATTTTCTCTTAATCAACCGTAATATTCTCTCTCTCTCTCTTTCTCTCTCTCTATTTCTATCTCTCTTTCTCTCTCTCTCTCTCTCTCTCTCTCTCTATCGGTCTCTCTCTCTTACCTGATCTATCTATCTATATATCTTTTTCATTACTGACACACACACACGCACGCAGACACGTGCATACTATTTCCATTCTATCTCTTCAGTTTTTTCTCTCTTTTTTTAATGTATCTCTCTCCATTTCTTCCTCAATCTCTCTTACTTTTAATAACACTCTCTCTGTCACTGTATCATTTTCTCTTTAGCCTCTTTCTCTCGCACATTTTCAAATTCTCTATTATTAAACCGTAATATTATTTCTCCCTCCCTCTCACTCTCTTTCTCTCTCTCTATCTCTATCTATCAGGCACGTGCATACTATTTCCATTCTATCTATTCAGTTTTTTCTCTTTTTTTTAACGTATCTCTCTCCCTTTTACCTCAATCTCTCTTACATTTAATAATACTCTCTCGGTCCCTCACTCTATATCTTTCTTTTTAGCACCCTTTCTCTCGTACACTTTCAAATTCTCTCTTTTTCAAACGTAATATTCTCTCTCTCTCTCTCTGTATACTCCTTTTCATTTAAAAGAAGCATCTAAAACCCAACTTATGAAGAGAAATTATTAATTAAAGTCTGAACTGGAAAAGTGGTACAGGGAAAATGGCCTGCGGTTAAATAAAGAAAAGTCACAGGTTTTGTTAATGACTACATCAAAAATAAAAAAATTGTGAAGAAATTATGTTCCTAAAGCACCCAGGGTGTATATTGATCCATAACGCATTTGGGATGCGCATTGTAGATTCTTGGCGCCTAAACTCAGCAGATAGTTGTATCTGTTAAAAAGTCTGGAATTTGCTTGAATTGCTTCTCCTAAATCATTGGTACATGTTTATTTTTCATTAAATTCACTAATTTCGTGGTCTGCTTGACCAATTAAATCATTACAATTAATTAAGGAATTTAGTTGAGATGAATAAAAGTTAATAGCACGAGCGGGATTCGAACCCACGACCTTCGGCTAGATACGGTGCTGCTCTACCACTTGAGCTATCGTGACCTCGATCGTGGTTTCGAATCCCGCTCGTGCCATTAACTTTTTTTCATCTCAACTAAAAACCTTAATTAATTGTAATTATTTTTCATGTTTTCAGGCTTACATTAGATACGCATTATTGGATTGTGGACAGTCCTGTCAACCATGTTTTGAAATAACAAGGAAAAGCAATTATGATACTAGAAAATTTAGGTTCAAAGGATGCTGAAAAACTTTTTTTTGTTAAACTTACAATTTTGCCTTTAACTTGTTTATATATCTTAGAATGCGTAAGGAATTGTTAAAAACAGTGAGACAGTCTTAAAACATTTAAAAGTGTACAAAGTCAATTCACTAGAAATGGTAAGAAAAATGGTTGAACCTTAAAAAGTGTGAAACATAATAACAAATGTTATGTAAATATTTGTATATTAAATTGTAAAATGTGATTCTAGAAAAGATAAAAAAAATTGCCTGGAAAAAGTTTGAAAAAGTATCTAGTGAAGAACTAATGGTTAGTAAACAGAATGCTAACCTAATCGTATTAGCTGAGGAAACAGCGATTCTTAAAATAAGATTAAGTAAAATATTTTTAAAACATGTTTGTGACGATTCTAATGCAAATTTAGACTTTTTCAGCAAAATAAATTCTCTCTTCTCTCTCACTCACTCTCTCTCTCTCTCTCTCTCTCTCTCTCTCTCTCTCTCTCTCTCTCTCTCTCTTTCTCTTAAATTTAAAACAGTATTTTTATTCATAGCTTATTAAAATAGGACTTTTGAATTATCTGACATGGAAAACATTGTGTACCTACTTGTTTTTATACTTTGGTTGTTAGATTTACAACAAAAGTCAATTATTTTCAATGACGATCAATGCTTTTTATTGAATAAACGAGATGAGAAAGTAAATATTTTGATCCATAATTGGACGAATTTTTGCCAAGTGAAATTTTGGTCGTTTTGAGTTTGTCAATCAGCGTCTCCCTGTTTCTCCTCTATGATGCTCGGGTATGGTAAGGAACTCGCTAATGGAAAGGGTCTGACGAGACCCTAAGTGCTTCCAACCCCTTCTGCCTATCTGATGTACAACGACTTGGCAACCGCCTTTTTTTCTCCAGCTCCCTACAAACTCCAGGCCTTGCTAATCACTATTACTTCATCCCACGTGAAAACACCTGCCCACTTAACTTTCGAAACATCTGTATCTTTTGTCCTAGTAATTATTTGAGCTCCTTGAAAGTATATAAAAGTCGCATATTGTAAAAAAATTTCCTTCGATATTCAAACCTCAATTGGCTTAGAATCTGATGAGGACGAAATATGTCTTGTTTTGTTCTCATTTATAATTTATCTTACAATTTCATACCAAATTATCTTTGTTTGGCAGTCTATTTATTCGTCTGTATTTCTCTCTTTCTTTCTCTCTCTCACACTCATTCTCTCTTTAAACTTCATAGAAAGTGGATAAAAGTCGAACATTGTAAAATTTTTCTTCTCAATGTTTAATACTCTTTTGGAGTAGCACGAGTCATGCAAGAAGAGATATCATTTCTTTCGTTCTCCTATTTTTTCTCAACTTTAACTTACGACTTTATCCAAATACCATATTCTCTTTATCTGAGGGTCTAGTTGTCTGATTTTCTGGCTGTCTGTTTCTCTCTATCACACTCTCTCTCTCTCACTCTCTCTCTGTCTGTCTCTGTATGCCTGTCTTTCTCTCTCTCTCTCTCTCTCTCTCTCTCTCTCTCTCTCTCTCTCTCTCTCTCTCTCTGTCTCCATTAGCCTTCCTAGAAAGGGTATACAAGTAGAGTATAAGGTACAAAACATATTTTTATCAATGTTTTCGATTTTTAATGTTTAAAACTTATTTAGCTTAGAATCTGATATGCACAGACAGGCAGAAATTTAAAAAATTGTGTATTTCTATTGTATAAACGAATTTTGGACGATTGAATACCACAGCTAAAAAATTTTTAGCTATTGGAAGGAAAAAACATTTGTTTAATTATAACTATTAGTAAACAGTTTAAAGGCTTAAAGTTTACAGAAGTTGAAAATGAATACAACTGTCTATACTTTTGTTTCCATGGCGACTTTCGAGGGAGGGTGGAAATATTTCCAAGAAGAGCGTAGAAGAGGGCTCGCATGTCCGACCGAACAAGTCAACCCATTAACTATTGACGGGGCCACTTTTGCCAACCTAATCACCCATTCGGCCCGGGGATCTGCCAACGTGTCATTACCCCCCGCGGTCTCTTTTTCCGTGGGAGAGAGCCCTTTGCCGGGCCGGAAAGTCCTACTGTGTGCAGCCCATGTTCGTGTTAGGTCACTCGCCGTTTGTTGTCTCTTTCGTTTGCCCCTCCAATACAAAAAACTCCAATTACGACTTGGTCGAGTGAAATTATAGAGTGTCGGGACGATTCGGCCAATTATGTTTCGAAACCAAAGCCTATTATTTCGATTTCCGTCCTGGGGTTCTACCCTTCTTCGATCTCGTTAATATTTAATGCGGCCGTGTAGAAGTTAACACTTTTTTACAGCTTACTTGCTCTCCTTGAGACAAAAACATGGCTTTATTGCAAAACAAAATATAAAAAAAATAAATAGGAATGTAACGTTATTACTACTTCTACAGGAAATATGCTTAAAACCATGAGAAAAAATCATTTCTCAAATTGATCCAAAAATTTGAAATAAACTGAAGAAACCGTTAAAAAATTAATTTAAAAATCTATCTATCTATGAATTTTAGTGCATATTTTTATTTATTTATTATTATTTTATTAATTTATTTTACATAGTTGTATTTAGCTGGTACCAGGGCATTATTGCACCATTTTTTACCTAGTCTGCATTAAATATAAAAAGAATTTGATCTTAAAATATTCATAAAAAAAAAATAGTTGAGGAAAAAATACATGTAAATTTCATGACATTACACAGAATATAAATGTATTAATACAACGATAAATATGTATTAGTGATCAATAAATAAATAGACAATAAGAATATTAAATTACACGCGATACAATCTGATCTCGTGGTCCTTTCAAAAACAAATTTGACTAGAAAGTATGGAATAATTTATTATTGGTAAAACAGAATGATAAAATTTAGTAATTTAACGACTTAACCTATTAAATAAAAGATTATGTTAGTTAAAGTTTTACATATGAAAAGGGGTTACATTCCATATGTTAACACCTGACCAAAACATTTAGAAAATCATTTCAAGCGTATTTACAAGGCGTAATACTAGAGACAGTTTATGCTACTTAATAAAGATAAACAATAAATTAATTTGGTCTGTTTTCTAGTTATACATGGGTCAGAGGTCATAGTGGGGATGAGAAATTGGTCATATAAAGCCAAAAGAGGAGCAGATGTAAATTCTCAAAGCCCAAAACCTATTGTAAGCCACAAAATGGTGATATCCAATAATGGAATTTAATGAGTTCAAAACCTCGTCGAGGAAGACCCCCAGGCATGGGACACATTGGTCCATAGAAGGGGCAAGACATACAAAGTAACAGCAAGAAATCCTGATGGACTCCGAACATGGCACTGCCGCTTAAA